TAGTTGCAAGTGAGGCTCTTGGCATGCATTGCATCTGCATGGGGGAAGGGGTGCCCTTTTCTGTTTTCAAAAAGGCAGCATGAAGATAAGCCATGGCCCTGGTAGTGCTTCCTTTGGAATATATAACTGAGTCTTAGAAATAGTTTTTAATAGATATGTAAGAATGGCATGGTGGAAGCATCTCACCTTCTAATCTAACTTTACAAGGGGGAAGGAGAATCAAGATCAGCAGCCCAAGGCTGCCTCCTATGAGGCGGAGATCAAAGATATGAACTATCCCTCCCACAGCTCTCTCTACATCTCTGCTGGGTTCAATAATTCATTGCAGTGGCCACACAGAACTCACAGACAACACTTATAATTATGGGGTTTATTAGGGAAGTAACAGATTACAATTCAGGATCAGGGATGACTCAAGATACAGTTCTTCAGTCAGGACAGCCATTTTTCAACCATGCCTGCAGATAGGCCTCTCTTTGGCCCTTGGCCCTTTGGCCCCTTGGCCCAGCCTCTGCCCTACTCAGGCAAGTGTTACAAAGCTCTTTAGTTCTGCTAATAAATGCCCAGAGGCACCCTACTCTGTCAGCAAGCCTCTTGCTCGAAGGCACTCAGATTTTCGTACTCTGTGTGCCAAAAAGCCCACCACTGTGCCATCTCCTGCTGGTCTGCTGGTTCTGCTGCCTCTGCTACTACTGTTTCTCTGTGCTGCTTCTCTCCATCTTGCTGTCTGTGGTGTTACAGCTCTCTCTCTCTCTGTCTCCTGGGTCTAGGAGGGTCTCAGCATAGGGATCCTAGGTCCAAAGGACACAGTCCGCTCCCATCTCTTCTTGGTGGGAGTCAGGTCCCCTCTTTGCTGTGGGATTGGCTGTCTTTTAAGCCTAGTGGGATGGCAAAACTGACCAATCCCCTCGTTAGGGTTCTATGTACTTTATTTGCATGGCTCCACCCCCACAAGGTTGCCATGCACCTTATTTACATTGTTAGCAAGCTATCTAATCCCTTGGTGGGCCACAAGCAGCCCATTTTCATAGTCCCATCCAATCACTGTATGGGAGTCACAAAGACCATGGCTAGAAGGGCCATATCCACTGTAAATAGCTAGATTTAAACTCTCTAAATTCTCATAGTCTTTATTAAATGTTTTGTTTTGCTCTGTTAATTATTAAATTTCTATTTTATTCTAAAGTGCTACGCAGAATTTAAAAAAAGGTATCATGGGCCATTAGTTCATCCAGAGCCACCTACAACCATCCAGTAGTAACGGAAAAGATAGGATTTTCCCTGGTGTGTGACAGAGGCCTTCAGTTGGAGGCAGCCATCTGACTGGTGAGCCCAGTTTGGATTTGGCTGGTCTCTGTTGAATGTGTCTTAAATAAACAAGTTTCTTTTTTGGCAGTGTTGGCAGACATAGGGAATGTAGAGTTTGGCAAAAGCTGTGTCAAACAAAGTGCTTAAGTTATTTAGAAGCTAAGGTCTACTGTCACTGTCATGGCTGAGGAAATACCTTCCAACTGGAAAATAAAAGTAATCTTGCTGCCAAGGAACAAATATATTCATCACTTATTCTACAAACAGAAAGGGCGGTGCTTATTGCTTTGCTAAGCAGGTAGCTCTTGTAGCTAAATTATATTAATCACTGAACTGGTTTTGCAAACATTGCTATAGAAGATGTTTAGCTGTTGTGCTTTGAATATATTTACTATTGGGAAAGTTATTTGTGATATGTAAATGTATTCCCTAGTTTTGCCTGATAGCAGAAAATCTAATGACTTTCAAATGTGATAAGGAGCTCTGTTTTCTCTTAGTAAATGTGAATGCTGATAGAAGCAAGCTGTTGGGAGGTGGAATTTGGCCAAATGTCCATTTGGTTTCTGGAGCTGTTTTGTGTGGCTTTTTGGATTGGAGCTTATAAAAGTTACAGATTCATATTTTGTGTTATAGTAAGGAGCTGTACAAGTTAGTTTTTTAGTTATTGGTGTAATTAGTTGGTTCCTTTGGGGTAATATGACTATTGGACCAATAAAGTTAGTCCCAGGCACTGAGGCCTAAGGGAAGGTTTTTTTTAAAAAATTTTTAAAAACATAAGAGAATTTTTGTTTTCTTTACGTTGACATGTAATCCATACTGAAGGCTGTAGTCTTTGATCTTCATCAATAAATGCTTAAGTCCTCTTTACTTTCTGCAAGCAAGGTTGTGTCATCTGCATAATGAGTCTTCCTCCAATCCTGATGCTGCATTCTTCTTCATATAGTCCAGCTTCTCAAATTATTTGCTCAGTGTACAGATTGAATAAGTATAGTGAAAGGATACAACCCCACGCAAACCTTTCCTGATTTCAAACCACGCAGTATCCCCTTGTTCTGTTTGAATGACTGCCTCTTGGTCTATGTACAGGTTCCTCATAAGCACAATGAAGTGTTCTGGAATTCCTATTCTTTGCAATGTTATCCGTAATTTGTTGTGATCCACACAGTCAAATACCTTTGCATAGTCACTAAAACACAGGTAAACATCCTTCTGGACCAATAAGCAACATCACAATAAACGGACAAATATTGAGTTTGTCAAGGATTTCATTTTACTTGGATACACAATCAATGCCAATGGAAGCAGCAGTCAAGAAGTCAAACTCTGTATTGCATTGGGCAAATCTGTTGCAAAAGACCTCTTTAAAGTACTGAAAAGCAAAGATACCACTTTTAGGACCAAGGTGTGCCTGATCCAAGCCATGGTATTTTCAGTGGCCTCATATGCATACAAAAGCTGGACAATGAATAAGGAAGACTGAAGAAGAATTGATGCCTTTGAATTATGACGTTGGTGAAGAAAGTTGAATATATCTTGCACTGCCAGAAGAATGAACAGATCTGTCTTGGAAGATGTACAGCCAGAATGCTCTGTAGAAGTGAGGATGGTGAGAATTTGCCTCACGTACTTTGAACATGTTATCAGGAGGGATCAGTCCCTGGAGAAGGACATCATGCTCAGTAGAGTGGAGGGTCAGCAAAAGAGAGGAAAATCTCAATGAGATGGCTGCCACAGTGGCTAGGAGTACAGTGGCTGCCACAGTGGGCTCAAGCATGGCAGCAATTGTGAGGATGGTGCATGACCAGACAGTGTTTCATTCTGTTGTCCATAGGTTCGCTATGAGTTGTAACTGACTTGAGGGCACCTAACAACATCAAACATAAAAGGATTTGATTTATCTAAATAGCTTTGGTAGTGCAGGCCATTCCCTGGGAACCCTGTGGAGCAGTTCTACCCTGTCCTCTAGGGTCGCTGTAAGTTGTAATCAACTCGATGGCAACAGGTTTGTTTGTTTGTTTTTAAATAGCCATACTTCAGGAAATAAATACTTTCATATACTTTTGAATTATGTATGTATATGAAGTTTTTGTACTTTAGGCAGCAGAAGAAGCATAAGAAATACCCTTGGTTAATATACGTATGTGGGAGGCAGTTATTGAAGCCTCAGGGAATAAATCAGTATCTTTATTTGATTTTCCCAGTGAATCTCTGAAGGAGAAGCATCTTGAAATAAAGATTGTTGTGGTTAGCACCCCAGCTGTTGGCAACGTCATTCACAAGGGATGGACCTTTGTGGAGATGGGGAATTAAGATAAGGGAAGATAAAGTCTAGTAGAGAGTCTTATCAAACCTTTTATTTTGGATTTTAATTGAAGCTACCCTTTCCAAGAAAGAGCAAACAAATATTTGTTTTCAGTCCTGTGGGACAGATTCCACTATTGTTTTACTTATATCTTTAGGCACACCTTCAGGGGATAGTGAAATAAATACAAATAGTGATCTCCTTCCCCTCCCTTTCCAAGTCCTCCTTTCCCACCCTTTCCAAGTCCTGTTTTTAAAAGAAATGTATAAGGAACAGTAGATAGAAAGGAAGAATATATGAAGAGAAACTTTTTTATTTGACAAAAGTGTAAATCCTGGTGATTTTATTGGGAGGGCGGATAGAGGGAGGAGAGAGCTTAAGTGGCAGAGTTAGAACATTTTGTTGATTCTATGTACTGAACACTTTGCCAAAAGCTTTACGTGAAATATCTAATTTAAGTCTCACAACAACCATGTAAGATAAGAATTATTATTGTACCCACTTAACAGATGAGGAAAATGAATCTAGCCGAGGGAAACACAGCCAGTAAGTGCGGAGTGAGGGCTTGGATTCAGGAGTCTGATCACCAAGTATGTGCCACTCAGTTAACACAAGTTTTGTTGTTGGGAAATGACTACTTAAAGTGGAAAAAGGGACTCGCAAATCCAGAATAAAATTAGTTAAGATCCCTTAGGGACTTGTAAAATAAATGGATTGTGTTCTTATGCTGGTATTGGGATAATTTTTAAGACTCCTAGTGTTGTAATTCAATTTCCAGATACCCTCTCAATGCAATTGCTGAAATTGGAGAGCAAACCAAAGGGTTTGACAGAAATACCACACAATCTGTTGTGTGATTTTTGTTGTTTTTAAAATTTTCTCACACAAGCAGTACCCGGATTGCAAATGAATTCCATTCCTAAATCTGTTTTTACTTAGGTAGGACTTGTAGCTAACAGTCAGATGTTTGTCTTAGTATGTAGTATGTAGTATACCTTTCTATGTATAAAAAACATTACGGAAACACTTCCAGATAAACTAAAACATCTTTAACATAATGATACAGTAATAATAATGTTTTGATGCAGGTCGCAAAGTACCGCCCATTTGTTATTACAAACCATTGCGCGTACCTCAAATTTTTAATATAATAGGCTTTTTGGGGTTGATTTGTAACTACAGGTTGTACGCAAGTCAGACATTAGTAACCTGAGGGCTGCCTGTGTAGGCGATCAGAAGAGGAGGAAGCTGGCACGTTCAATTTGTAATTCTACATGGGAAACACAGCTTTGCAATTTGTTGTTTTAGGGAAGCGAGTAATTAGGAAAAAAAGCTTTTTATCAAGTTATATGTGTGTGTGTGTTGTTTTTCATACTGTGGACTGTTCTAGGATTTTCGGGATGCAGTAGCTCATGCTTCCAGGCAGCTTGGAAAACCAGTGATTGAGGACCGAATCCTGAATCAGATCCTATACTACCTGCCTCAGCTGTATGAACTCAACCGGGATCTCCTAAAGGAACTGGAGGAAAGAATGTTGAACTGGTAAAAATGGACTTAACGCTTTCCCTGAATTTCCATTTTTAGATGACACTGTAAGGACCCTGGATGTGACAGAGAAGTGTTGTTCCTTACATTGAGTTATTACAATGTATTGCATTTTCTTGGCAGTTACCTGTGGATTGATTATTTTTAATGTCCAAAATTAACAACCTTTGTGCAATAAACTCAGTATCATAGATTTTAAAATTTCTTGGTAATGCTGCCTTAGAAATAAAAAGGGCCACATTCAATCAATTGAACTTTTTGATATGACCTTTGATAATCAAGATTTATGAGACTGAGGGAGGATGATGGATGCATTCCAATCGGAAAAGTTTTAAAATATTTTATCTATCTTTTGTGGAGCTTCAGGGCATTGAAGTTCTTTGCTTTTCTTAAAAGAGGCTTTCCACTGAGAAGTAGGAGGGTTTGTTTGCTTGCTTGTTTTGGAAAGGCAAATTTACATATGTATGACATTGTAGAAACTGTAGATTTCAGAACTGGAAAAGAAGGCCAAAGAGGTTATTACAAGCTATTTTTAATGTCCTGTAGAAAATAAGCAGAAGGTTTGGTGACATTGGAGCTCTGGTGGTGCAGTGGTTAAGAGCTCTGCTGCTAACCAAAAGGTTGGCAGTTTGAATCCATCAGCTGCTCCTTGGAAACCCTGTGGGGCAGTCCTACTCTGCCCTATAGGGTCACCATGAGTCGGAATCGACTTGGCAGTAACAGGTTTGGTTTTGGTTTTTTGGTGATATTAGGGAAAATGTAGAAAGTTTGGTCCAAGAGAATTAAATTTATTGTTGAAGTCATAGGGGACCCAAAATGATTAGAATAACAAAATAGTGTAGTGTACTTTAATGATCAAAATTTCCATTTCAACTTTATATGTACTTGAGAAAATACTTCCATCTGTTTTGGAAAATATCATGCCTCTGCATGTTGGGAAAATAAGCTAGAGAAGCAATGAATACTTAGCTGCATCCTAGGTATAAAGTAACACAGAGTTAAGGACTGAGGATTGACAAGAAGTTTTATTATCACATACTTAATCATTTTCTTATAAAAAATTAATCTGAATTCGCTTAACAGGCATGCATATTTATGCAAGCAAGTATTGGGAAGAGGCTTAAATATATTGCTTTTACCAAGAGTTTGCCATATTATAAATCTGTAGACATTCTGTGTTAAAATATTAAGCATTCCTAGGAAACAGACTAAATCAATGAAAGGCAAAGTTAAAACCATAATTATGGAAAAAGCTCCACTTATTACTGAAAAACTCTTTTAACTCGTAGATATTTTCTGTTTATCAAAATATTTTTCTTTCATGTGTCTTTGAATGAAGATGTAGTCTTTGGTTTTCCTGTTGTTGTTAGGTGCTTTCGAGTCAGTTCCGACTCATAGCGATCCTATGAACAATAGAACGAAACACTGCCAGGACCAACAATTGTGCCATCCTCACAATTTTTGGTTTTATTAGACTTTCTGAAATCACATTTTTCCATTGGCTTTTAATAACAATTGATGAAATATTTCATTTTTACATTCAACAAGATTTTGAATATCTACTGTGTGCTAGTCAGTGTATGCTAGGAATATGGCAGTGCAGAAGACAGACAAGGCTCTTGTTCTCATTAAGTGGACATTTTAGTGGCGGAAGAACCAGACAGATCAACAAGAAAAATATCAGATAGAAGCAGTCTCTGATCTGCAGAGAATTAAAATGGGATGAGGTGATAGTGAGTGAAGGGCCAAGGAAGGCCCTCCAACAAGGCAGAATGTTTAAACTGACATCCAAATGAAAAAAAAAGAGTCATCCAGGGTTCCATATTTCTAGACACATGGAACTATTATTAAAAGTCTGTAAAGAAAAAACGAACTGTGAATGTTAATAGAATATACAAAGAAGGCCAGTATGGTTGGAGAAAGGGGGAGAGAAGTGTGAGATGCGTCAGATAAGATAGGCAACAGGTGGACCATGGGGCTTTATAAGCTAAGAGAAGGAGGGTTTTTTTTTTTTTTTTAAATGCTAAGTGCAGTATGAGGCCATTGGATGTCACATGAAATAATATACATTTTTAAGACTGTGGCTGCACTGAAGAATGAAGTATAGGGGACAGTAGTCCAGGCCAGAGATGACGGTGGCTTGAACTAGTCACAGGGGGTGTGGTGAAAAGTAGGCATTTGGGTATCTGTTTTAGAAGAAGAGAGGAAAAAAAAGATACCGCCTATGGCTCAGGTATTTGCTTATCATTGGATATCTTTTGGATAAATCAGTGACTTTCTTTTTACATTTTTGTGTATCTTTTCTCCATTCTTAGGACTGAACAACAAAGAATTGCTGATATCTTTGTAAAGAAGGGACCCTATTTAAAAATGTATTCCACATATATCAAAGAATTTGATAAGAACATAGCTTTGCTGGATGAGCAGTACAAGAAAAACCCAGGTTTTGCTGCTGTTGTTAGAGACTTTGAGGTATTTGCTACCATCTAACGTTGAACATTTCTTATTTTTTAACTCAGTCTTTCCTTTTATTCTTCTAGCAACCCACCTACAATGATAGATGAGAAAAAGAATTTGTTTCCCTTTCAATAAATAAATTGCATAATTTTAGTATTAAAGTTAAGAAAAATCAATAATGTATCTATAGCATGTGTCACCCAAAGCTTGGTGTTTTGAATCAAAACTATGAAGTGCTAGTCTGATTTGATGAGGGATAAAATGATATAAAACTTTTTAAATTAGTTTTTAGCTGGTTGCCATAAAATGATATTTAAGCCCCCTCCCCAGTTTTAGGGTAAAATTTGCATTACTGTAGAAATGAAAGATTTCAGGTAGTCCCCAGCTTAGGATGGGGTTCCATTCCAATGACTCCATCATTAGTCAGTTCTGATGTAAGGTGAATACCTCTTCTTTTTTTTTAGTTTTCATTATTACTGTCTTTTATTATCAATATCTTTGTAAATCCAATCTTTATTTGATTTTGGGGTTGTAAACATTACATATCAACATCTGCGAGTGAACATCTGAGAATGATAACATCAACAAATTATACGCTGCAACACTGTATATAGTACATATTACTGAAGATAAGATATACAAAAAAGACAAAATGGGTAGTTGTAAGTGTAGTTCGTTTTAACTCGAATATGTTGTAAGTCAGGGACTACCTGTATTAAAATACTGCTGATTTCTAATTTGTACCAAAAACCTATTGCTCTTGAGATGATTCCAACTCATAGTGACCCTATAGGACAGAGTAGAACTGCCTCGTAGCGTTTCCAAGGAGGAGCTGGTGGATTTGAACTGCCGACCTTTTGGTTCACAGCCTGAGCTCTTAACCACTGCACCACCAGTGCTCCTAATTTGTACAGTGGGCAAATAATTGAACTTTAAAATCATTTGTAGACTTAATTTTTTCTTTCCTCTATTTATGCTATTAAAAAATGAAGTATAGCATAGGTATGGCAACTGATAATTGATCCAGGTTTTGGTCAGTGTCCAGTGAGTTGTTCCGTTGCCTTGACAACAAAAGAAGACATAAGACAGGGGAGAGTTAGCTCTCTTGGTTAATGGTACTTGCATGGAGGATGCTGTCTTAATATGCATTATCATCATAATTTCATATTCTGTGTGTCAGACATTGGAGGTGCATCTTTAGGAAAAAATAAAAGCTGAGCATATCTAAAAAAATTCTTACCTACCCACCTGAGCTGTGTAAGGAGCAGGACATTTTATTGTGGCCTTTAGAATGCAGGGATACAGAGATGTCTATTGTACATATTAAGAAAAAGAGTTTTCAAGGCAGGGTCAAAATGTCCTTATGGTTAAGTAAAAATGATTCCAGAATGTCCATCCCTATATCCACTATAATGTTGAGGGTTGTTGTTTCTGGCCATTCATCTGAGAAAGATTTTTACATCCTTTAGGCTTGTTAGAGGAGGGATGTTTGGCAAGGTTGCTTTTTGGGTTATCTGTTATTTCTATAATTCTCCCCACCTACCCTGTTATTACCATGAATGTATTACCACAAGGTTCTATTATTTGAATCCAATTCCTGGTAGTTTTATTTCCGCCACCTTATTTTGGGGGCAGTGCATTTTCTTCTTGGTCCATTGGGGCTTGTTTGTATTTATGAATATGCTCCTCTAAGTGGGAACTGCTGATTAAGGTGGGCTCCAATTAGACTTGAATTCAGACTGTGGCTGCCCACTCTGTGAGAGGACTGTGAACAAGTTTTCCCTATGAGTCAGTGAGTGATTTCAGAGACCTGCCTAAAAGAGAGGTTGGGCTAAGTGGTGAATCTGGCTGCAATTCCACTTTCTTAGCCTAACAGCTATGCTTAAAATAAAAGGATGCTTTGAAATGAATCCCTTCCCAAGTTAGTGGCTGTTTAAAGTTTAGCTTCCTAGGCTAAACTTGCATCTGGATCCCTTAAACCAAACCAATTGCCATCAAGTTGTGTGTGTCAGAGTAGAACTGTGCTCCACAGGGTTTTCAATAGCTGATTTTTTGGAGGTAGTTCACCAGTCCTTTCAAAATGCTTGTGTTTACTTTGGATGCCTTTTCCTTTCAGATGAGCCCACGCTGCGCCAATCTGGCCCTCAAGCACTACCTGCTCAAGCCTGTTCAGAGGATCCCCCAGTACAGGCTGCTGCTGACAGGTAGGTTTTTCCAGCAGTTTATCAACCAACCTGCTGCCCTCATGTTGCTCTTACAAAATTCTGCCTTTCAAGAACATGTCTCTTTTTATATCACTCCAGTAACTACTTTGCCTAATAATTGAATTTATAGATCACTTCCATACTTCACATATACATTGCCTGAACTGCGCTTCTTTCAGTTCTGTGATCCTACCATGTACGTTCTCAACTCTGGGCATTCATTTGTGGAATTCCTTTTGCTCAGAATACCTTTCACCATCCCAACCACTTATCAGTTCTTCATTTTATCTGGGTAATATTATTAATCCCAAGAAGATAATTTCTTGATCGATCAAGATGGGGTTTAGAGGGTCACTGCCACATATTTCTGTAGCCCTTTCATGATCAATTTTTTTTTTTATAGTAAGTTTTTGATATATTTTTTCAGTAATGAAATACATGCTAAATCACTGAGTCTTTTTAAATTTTTGTTAGGCAAGGCAGATTTTGATAAATATTATGTGGGACACATATGTCTCACTGGACTCTGGTGATAGGATAGGTGGGGTGAGGTATGAAAAAAGTCATTTTATCTTAGTAATTTTATTTTATTGTGTGAAACGTTTTGAAAACATAGGGTAATACATAAAGGCACCCTGCAGTGGCTGCACATAGACATAGTTGGGGTTCCAGTCTCCTTCTTCTTAGTGCTGCATTGTCTGCATCACCTTCTAGATCCCTTGACAAGTAAATGCTTCCCAATCTGTTGGTGCCTATGTCATTTGGCACCCTGCTTACTCCTGGCTTGTTCCTGACAGGAAAGGAGGGTCTTCCTCTTTTTGTGATTTCCTGACCCACAGTAAGCTGCCTAATGAGAGCAAGCCTGAAGGAAAGTTGGTCACATCTGTCCCTGTTGTTACAGTTCCACATTATAAAACTATTTACAGTGCCAAGGTCAATAAGGAAATACAGCAATCGATGCCTTCCCATTGTGTACCTTTCTCACCTCTGGTCAAAGAGGTCCACTCTGCCCATAATTGCGTTATACTCTGCAACTGCTCTTGGGCAAGGGGTTACTGAGGAGGGACCTTCTTTGTTCTTTCTTTTGACACTAGTGATGTCCTTTGGATTGTGGAACATGACAGGTTTATTGTCCTGCCATTTTACTGCCAACACACATCTTTTAATACAAAACAGAAACTCTCCCCACTGTAATTTACCTTTCCTCTCCATCATTTCTGTAGCCCCTTTCTGTTTGCTCGGGCTATGCCTACAGCATATAGCCCCCTTTCATTCATGCTTTTCATCAGGTGACAAGAGGAAAAGAAATTGTCAAAGGCAATAAACCTATGAGAATAGTTGCTTTGAATGACATAGTCCAAGTACAGCACTCTCACAGGGGGAGAGAGATGAGTCATGGTCTATGCCTTTTTTTCCGGAATAGATATCAAAGTGACTTACAAAACCAGTCTGTGAGTCAGCCAAGCACCAGACTTTGTACCCACACTTGATGGGCTTCATTGGAACGTATTGTTTTATTGATCATTGGCCCTTTCATCAGCTGTCATGAAACTTGATGGAACATACACTTCTTTCAAGCAGCCATTGAGAGCATTGATAATTGGGCACAATTTGTGAAGCTAGTCTTAGTCAGATTCTCCTTTGTGCACTGCTTTTGAATTGTCATTGTAGTGTGTATTCTTGGTCGGTTTCTTGAATCTTGTTTTAGTCATGAGGCCTGTCACTGAAGTAACACCCAAAAGGGGGTCACTGGATCAATAATGTCTGAACTCTGGCAGGACGTGTATACCCCTCAGTTTATGTACAGCAATGATTGTCTTTTTTTCCTCTATGGTTGTAGGCTGCCAGCTTTTACTTGGCGTTCACATCTCTTGCCCTCTATGTCGTCTTGTGCGCTCCTAGGTCGCATAAAGATTCATTTGGCCCTTTATAATTTCCAATATCTCTTCTGTAAATACAGACAAAAAATAATCTACTTCTGTATCTTCATGGGTCAAGTCTGATTTAAACTTTGGCATATTGCTGAAGAGAGTTCATTATGTTTTCAAAGTAGGAGACATCTTCGCACCATTCACCTTCATTTTCTTCCCTTTCATTGTGAGCATCATCATCTAGTTCACTGTTTTCTTCTGCAACATCGACTGCTTCATCATCCTCTAATGCCATGTCAGTGTCACTGTTGTCACCATCAGAATGAGCTTTAGATTCTATAAGATGGGTAAGCTCCTCCTAGACATCTTCATCACACTCCTCCTCAGAATCTTCCTCATTCTCAGGTAGAGAAAAGAAATAATGTAGAATTTCTTCGTCTTTCAAAGAGCCCATTTCTGAAAAAAAGCAATTTTTCAGAAAACAGGAATTCCAGGTTCAGCAAAACCAGGATAATACTGATACCATACCTCCAAACCAATTTGAGAACACACAAGGGGAGACATTGCATAATTCCAGCCTCCTGTGAAAATAAAAGCACCAAAAGGAATTGGTGTTGTGGGAAAAGCAGTACTACAATGAATTCATTTTTATTGCAAATGAACTGCTTATAGTGCATAAACCTGAAGAGAAGCCTTGACAATTGCAAGAAGCATACATGCAGTACGTCAAGTACTCTACCACACGTGCTTATAATGTATTGCTCCTGAAAATAAGTCATTCACTTGAAAATGAAATCATCACAAAAAACACAACTTGTCAATAACACACAGGAAACCATACATATACTTACAAGGCTTATCTCACTGTACCAAAGCCAAAAGAGACAAAAGTTTTACACAACTGCATCTGCAGTATGCACCACCTCATACAATAACCTACACACAGTGATTTGCTTTTTTTGTGTGTGTGTGATTTAGGTGAAAGTTTACAGAACATATTAGTTTCTCATTAAACAGTTAATACACAAATTGTTTTGTGACCTTGGTTGTCAGCCCTGTAGTGTGTCAACACTGTCTCCTTCTCTGCCCCAGGTTCCCTGTTTCCATTTTTCCAGTTTTCCTGTCCCTTCCTCGGTTCTCATCTTCACTTTGGGGCTGGCATGCCCATTAGTGTCATATACATAATTAAACTATGAAGCATGACCCTCACGTGTGTTATTGTTGGCCCTATAGACTTGTCTAATCTTTGGCTGAAGGGTGAACCTCAGGAGTGACTTCAGTACTGAGTTAAAAGGGTGTCTGGGGGCCATTCTCTTGGGGTTCCTCCAGTGTCTGTGAG